AAGATCGAGACAAAATCGGATCGGGATAACTCGAAATCTCTGAGAGTCGGCGGGTTTGGAGGATGTATTGGGCGCCGCGGCCGCTCCAGAGCGTTCCCGAACGCTCTGAGAGCGCTCCGGAACGCTCTGGAGCGATTTATCCCGATCCTAGCCCTGTTTTACAAACCCCTCCCCTGGCAACCGGATCCGGCAGATCTGGGGGGGGGGTCTACCGAGGCCGACCGGGCCCGGCCGGGGGGGCACTTTGCTCCAGCAGCTCTGCCAGGGTGGCATCGACGGCCTCAAAACGGGCCAGGAGGACCCCAAGACATCTCCAAGACGGTCCAAGAATGCCATGGGTCGCAGAGTCAATATTCCAACTGGCCTCCCGAAAGCCCAAGAGGCCCTCAAGACGCCCCAAGAAGCCCCCAAGAGGCGCCCCAAGAGGGCTTCCAGAAACACAGATCGTCCCATTCCTTTGGGGATTCACGCATGTCACCTCTTGGGCGATCACGACGTCCTAGACGGCCCGAGAGGCTGTGAAGATCGCCCCAAGACGGGCCAAGAGGCCCGCAGGAGGGCTCCAAGACGACCCAAGGAGGGCCCCAAGACGGTCGAAGAAACCCCCAAAACGGGGGGCCCGAGACAGCCCGAAGAGGGGGCCCAGAGGGGGAACCCGAACGGGCACTTCGAGTCATCCACCCCAAGGGACCCAAAGATGGCCGCAACAAGCCTCCAAGAGGCCCCCCGGAGGCCCCCAAGAGGTTCAACGACTGCATCCAAGACGCCTCCAAAGCCTCCGACGAGCCCCCATCATCCATCCGAGTGACCTCAGACCCACCATAACCCAGGCACGGTGGCGGGATGTGCCGAAGGCCATTCGATAATCATTCGTCGGGTGCTTTGACAGATGCCCTCCGTCTGTACACATGGTTTCTCGCCCGTGTCCCCACGCGGGGCCCAAACTTGTCAGGACAATCACAATGCAGGCGCAGTCATATGTTACGCAAGCTACGCGGGATGCGCTCACGTGGCACGGTTCAGAAGACAACAGCATAAGGACTAGGAGCGAGGGCCCAGGCTTGAGGAGGCCACGGGGGCGGGAACGAAAGGCCGGAAAAGGACGCATGGGGGGGGCGGAACCGTCAGCGCGGCAGCAGCAGAGGAAAGGTGGCAGGGGGCAGAAGACCACGACGATAGTGACGGGAGGGGACCGAAGAGTGTCGCTTTTGACGGTAGCGCGATAAAGATGCAGCGCTGCCTGCGCCGTGTCGCCGCGGCGCTCGAACAAATTATAAAACCTGCTGATAGTTGGTACAAGATCCGCGCAAGCGCCGCCGCGGCAGCACGTGCCCGACCTCCTCCCCCCGTTCCTCCTTCTCCTCCTTCTCCTCCTCCTCCTCCTCCTCCTCCTCCTCCTCTCCCTCCCCCTACTCCTCCTCCACCTCGTCTTCCCCTTCCTCCTCTTCCGACTCCTCCTCCACCTTCTCCTCATTCTCCTCCGCCCTTCCTCATCCACCACCTCTGGACCCTTCAAAATGGCGAGGACTCCTCTGAATATGAATAAGACGTCACTCCGCTGCCCCCCCAAGCAGCCCTCGAAAGTGGCGACAGCTTCGCAGATCGCAGTCCCATAGGGATGGCGAGGTCTCCTGGTGGTCTGGGTAAGACGTCACTCTGCTGGACCCCCCAGCAGCCCTCGAAATTGGCGACAGCTTCGCAGATCGCAGCCCCACAGGGATGGCGAGGTCTCCTGGTGGTCTGGGTAAGTGTCAGCTGGGCTTCCCAGCAGCCCTCGAAAGTGGCAACAGTTTCGCAGATCCCAGTCCCCCCCAGGGATGGCGAGATCTCCTGGAGGTCTAAGTAAGACGTCACTCTGCTGGCTCCCCAGCAGCCCTCGAAGGTGGCGACAGCTTCGCAGATCGCAGCCCCACAGGGATGGCGAGATCTCCTGGTAGTCTGGGTAAGTGTCAGCTGGAGCCCCACAGCAGCCCTCTAAAGTGGCGACAGCTTCGCAGATCCCAGTCCCCCCCAGGGATGGCGAGGTCTGTTGGTGGTCCTGGTAAGACGTCACTCCGCTGCATCCCCCAGCAGCCCTCGAAAGTGGCGACAGCTTCGCAGATCGCAGTCCCACAGGGATGGCGAGGTCTCCTGGTGGTCTGGGTAAGACGTCACTCTGCTGACCCCCTTTGAGCCCTCGAAAGTGGCGACAGTTTCAAAGATCGCAGTCCCACAGGGATGGCGAGGTCTCCTGGTGATCTGGGTAAGACATCACTTTCCTGGACCCCCCAGCAGCCCTCGAAAGTTGCGACCGTTTCGCAGATCGCAGCCCCGTAGGGATGGCGAGGTCTCCTGGTGGTCTGGGTAAGACGTCACTCCGCTGGACCACCCAGCAGCCCTCGAAAGTGGCGACAGCTTCGCAGATCGCAGCCCCACAGGGATGGCCAGGTAGGAGGCAAGCTGGCAAGAAGGACGGAGCGAGGTGAGAGGCAGGAGAGAAGAGGAGAGGAGGAGGGGGGCGGGAGAAGGGGAAGACGCGCGGGCAGTGTTCTGTTCAAAACGAATACTCAATCCGAGTGGCCTCAGACCTGCAACCCAAGCATGGTGGCGGGATGTGCCGAAGGCCATTCGATAATCATTCGTCGGGTGTTTTGACAGATGCCCTCCATCTGTATACGAGGGTTCTCGCCCCATTCCCCATGCGTGCACGGCGATGACTGAGAATGTCAGCCCGAGGTGCCCCGAAAAATGCCCTCATGATGCCCCAACAGAGCTCCGAGAAGCTCCCCAAGGGCGCACGAGAGGCCCTCGGCGGTGTGGCTCAAGCCCAAGAATAAAGAGGCCCGAGCTATGGAATGAGCCACACGCCGCAAGAGCGCCCCAAGACGGGGCCCACGACGCCCCCAAGAGGCCCCAAGAAACCGCAGGGAGGCCCCGTGCAGAAGGGGCCCCAAGACGCCCCCAAATGCACCTCCAAGAGGCCACAGAGACGCTACCCAAACGCCCCGCCACGACTGGACCGCACGTGCTCCTTGCGTGCACCCCGCGCAGCGAGGGGCACCACGAGGCCCGAGCTGTGGAGCACAGCCGTGCGAGAGGACACCCGGCAGACCCCGCCGAGAGGGCCCCTCTGCCTCCTCGGGAGGCCGCCCCGGGCCGCCTCCCGCGGGAGGTCGCCGCCCTCGTGCTGCGGGTTCTCTCCCCCCGCTTGTTTGCTGTTGGGGGGGGGGGGAGCGCCGCCGACCGAGCTGCTCCGCTCAGGGGGACGTAGGACCTGGGTACGGGGGACCCGGAAATCCCCGACGAGGTCGTCAAAAAAATGACGAGGCCGCGCCTGCATTTTGACGAGGCCTCCCGCTGCAGACATCCCACGAAACTCCTCCTCGTCAAAATCCGAGGCGCGGTCGTCAAAAAACGATGGCGAACCCGAGTCCTGGCAAACCCGGGTCTTACGCTCCCCAGGACTCGGCTCGAGCTCTGGTCGGGGGTGCTCTGGTTCCTTCTCGGCGCTTCGGCATCAGGGGACGGCAAGAAATCCACCCCTTGGGGATGGGCGGAACCCTCTTTGGCAGGACGTGGTTGGATGAAAACGGCCTCGGGCCCAAACCTGGCGGGCGCAAGCCGCCTGGAAAATGACGCCGCGACGCCCTCTCGGGAACCGACAACGGACAATTCACTAATCGACATGTTAGGGTGGGGTTTCTGTCCACCCCCGAACTCCATAACAACCACCCCGACGTGCGAGGTCATTTAGTAAAAGCACCCAAAGAAAGAATCGAACAGGGCAGGGATGTTCAATAAACGCCCAGGGCCGTTCAGTGAACGCAAATTGTCGGGTCCGGGTTTCCATTGGCATTAAAAGGACGGGAGAGGAGGGGGCGGGTCTGGCTCTGGACCTCTGCTCAGTGCGACTGTCTGCGGCTGTGCGTCCTCTGTGGGGGAGGCTCCACCTGCTTGACACAGGCACCAGAAACAGCCAAGAGCTACTCCATGGGGGGGGGAGGGGAGGTGCGAGGGCCCACGCCGATCGGCAAAACAATGAAGACGAAAACGATCACATGCAGGCCGATGCTCGAAAACGCTGTCCCGCCCCCCGTTTTCGACTTTTCGGTTTCAGGCCATCCATACTAGAAAAACAACCGGTAACAAAAAAACGAACAACTGAAATGCACAACGGAACCGAACCGAAAACGGCGCGAACGAGAAATTAAAGAAGGAAAGAACAACCTCACCCCAACACAGAACACCAAAACAAATTTCGAAGACCAAAACAAACGCACACTGCTTGTTCCACATTCGAGGCCAGGGCTTGTCGCATGACCCTTGGCCCCAAAGGGTCCCCCGAGAGAGGCCCCAAGAGCGCAGCACCGCCGCCGCGCCGCCAAAAGCCTCCCCTCCAACAAGGCCTCGAGATCCCAAAAGGCCCCCAAGAGGCTCCCCTGAGGGGGTGCGGCAACTAAAGGCTGGACGCTCTTCTACGGCAACTCATGGGAGCCTCCCATACCATCTTGCTGTCTCTTGCGCATCGACGCTGATCGACCCGAGTCAACAGTATACCAATGGATGTTCAGAGCAGAGTTAGGGCTAACTCACTCTGAAGACGGAATTGACAATGTTTTCGATGGGCTCCTATGATTTGCTACCGAAGCGCTCCGATCGGCGTGCTCGCCGACGGCGTGAGCCCCTCCTGCCAGAGCCCCTTCCGACCTGGAACTGGAACTTCTTTCAACGAGCTGACTTAATACACATACACCGATCCTGGCCAGGCTATTCCTGACACCAGGATCGACGACGACGATGACGAGGACGAGGACGGAGACAAGGACGGACGACCGACGAAGACGACGACGACGACGACAAACGACAGACGATGACGACGACGACGACGACGACGACGATGGACTACGACGACGACGACGACGACGACGACCGACGACGACGACGACGGCGGACGACGACGACAACGACGACGGACGACGACGACAACGGACGACAACGACAGCGAGACGACGGACGACAACAACAGCGACGACGACGGACTACGACGCCGAAGAGGACGAGGACGCCCTCCAGGCGTCGGCAGAAGGCATACGCGCCGCTCTCAGGCCCAATATCGGTGCCTGTGTGCACCCCGCTGGGCGCCCTGTGGTGGCGGCCGGGGGCGGGCGGACAGCTTGGGAGGGGGCTTGGAGGGGAATCGCTCCTGGGGATAACTATAACTCTCTTGCTCGCCCGCCCCTCCCCCTCCTCCTCCTCCTCCCTCCTCCTTTTCCTCCTTCCCTCCTCCCTTCTCTCCTCCTCCTCCCTCCTCCTCCTCCTCCTCCTCCTCTTCCTTTTCCTCCTCCTCCTCCTCCTCCCTCCTCCTTTTCCTCCCTCCTCCTCCTCCTCCTCCTCCTCCTCCTCCTCCAAATCCAGACATACCGTAGGAGCTCGCCCACAAGAACCCTTCCACAAGAAGCCCAACTCTGAGAACCCAGAGCGCCCGTGGACTGTGTGAGAGCGTCACGCTTTCCATCGCAGAGCCATCGGAACCCAAGACATCCAGGGCGCCCTGAAGGCAAGCAGGATGTTTCTTGGCATGGGTTTGCACTGTAGACAAACTCGTTCCACTACTCGCAAACCAACTGCTCGCAAACAGCTTGGATCCGCCGAGGGGAACGCGCGATCCTTTACATCGAGGCAGGCGTCTGTTTGGGGGGGGACCTTTCGCGATCAGGCAGTCTGCGAGCACGCAGTGGAACACGCTCGGTGAGGCAAGTGGTGGGGGGAGAAGGGTGCCATTTCTTCCAGGCCCTGAAGATCCCCCTCTGGGCCCGACGGGGCCCCTTTGAGGGTCCTCAGGGGTCGGGGGTGGACCAACCTCCCTTTAGTAGACCTCCCCTTTGTGAAACCAGCCTGGGACCGAAACCGACGGACCTAGAACCGCAAAAATGACGGCCGCGACGCCCTCCCGCGAACCGAAAACGGCCAATTCCTTAATCGACGTGTCAGGGTAGGAGGTCTGTCCACCCACGAAGGGGGCCGCTGGCTGAAGCCCGCGCTGGCCCCCCCCAAGTGCGCGACCCCCACGGGGGCAGTCGCGGGGCCTCGGAGAGCGAGTCCCGGGAAGGCGGCGTCCGTCTGGCGGACCTGCCTTCGGGGCAGGCCCGTGCCACACCTCTCCTCCTCCTCCTCCTCCTCCTCCTCCTCCTCCTCCTCCTCCTCCTCCTCCTCCTCCTCCCCCTCCTCCTCCTCCTCCTCCTCTCCTCCTCCTCCTCCCTCCTCCCTCCTCCCTCCTCCTCCTCCTCCTCCTCCTCCTCCTCCTCCTCCTCCTCCTCCTCCTCCTCCTCCTCCTCCTCCTCCTCCTCCTCCTCCTCCTCCTCCTCCTCCGCTCTCGTGCTCCTCCTCCATCCCCATCAAAGACCGTGTTCTCGTCATGTAGGTGGCGGCTCCCTTCCGGGGCATGAAAGAGCCACCAGCCCAAGGAACTAAACCACGAAGCAGTCAGCAAGCGCAGCCCACCTGCAAGCCCGCCCGACAAGCCTAACACGCCCAAGCGCGAGTGGCACACCGGGTCACGCTGCATAAGCCCCCATGCAGATTGGTTAAAGGCAAGAGCGACTGTAGTGATGATCTGAGGGGTCTGGGAGGTAAGAGTGGGCAGCACGACATGGCATTGCCTCAAAAACGCAACCGCATGGCGCACACTGGTCACGTCGGAAGGCTACCAACTTGTGGCAACAACTGAAGAGAAGAATCACTCCTTGGGCAATCACATAAATCTGGCAGGCCGAAGGGAGCACTTTGCTGTCTGGCCATAATGTACACGGGGTGCATGCCCTCTGGCAATGCAAAACAAATATCTGTATACATACGCGTGGTGAGTCGAGCATCCTAATTCTCACGGCTGCTATAACATTCACTCCTGGCTACGAACGGGGTTGCTCTCACCTAGCAACAACTGCAACGCGCCTGTGGCAAAGCACGACACGCGCCAGTGTCGACGAACATGGCGAAACGACCGCCGGCTGAGACGCAGACTGAGGCGGCATCGCACTGCAAGCGACCAATGCATTGCTCTCTGGCAGAACCATGCTCAGAGGTGGCTGCGCACTCCTGGCGCCACAGCAACAACGTCCTCTGACAGAGAACGGAACAAAGCCTCCACCACGACTGCTGCATGGTGGTCGGCTGAGACATCACTCGAGGTCACGATCAGACGAAACTGCGCTCTCTGGCGAGCGTCTGAATCCTCCTCCTCCTCCTCCCGCTGCCGCTCTTCCTGGGGCAAATATCAGGCTGGCCTAGGCGTCTCTTCTCTGTTAGATGGCCCTCTTGGTCCCGTCAGGAGGCTCAATGGAGGCATCATGTGGACGCGGCCGCCAGCAACCCTCGCAAAAGTATCGAAGCCTGAGACATCTGCGCGAATCGTGCCACGGAAAGAAACCCAACAGAACACACAGAACTGTGTGTACTGCTGGCTCGCTTCCCGGTGCTGCGGGCGCTGGCTTCCGACGACGCGCGGAGTGCTCCGCCCTGAGCGGTCGCGGCTCTCCGAGGGCGCACGCCGCGGGCGCTCAGGGCCGAACGCCGCCGAAGGCACGGCCGACTCCGTGCCACTGGCGGCTTTCACCTCGAGCACCCGCGCTGGGGCTGCCGCCGCGTCAGCGCGGCGCAGTCCTGCAGCGTAGACGCCAAGCTCCCAGACCTGCGGGACGCTGGAGCGTGCATGCGCCCTGCTCCTTCGTCGGCCTCGTTGGGGCCGGACCTGCATATCGGAGCACGAGAGCGGATCCGACCCGGAGCGGATCGGGTCGCGAGCGGCTCGTCCTGGATCGAATCCAGGTCGCAGGGCGGCGCCGAGCTCTGGACGGCCCAGAGTCCGGCGACGCCCCCCGATTCCGACGAACCGAACTCGCATCGGGATCGCGGCCCCGGACGGGCAGACCGAGTCGCACCGACTCGGATGGCGGGCGGCCCCGTCGAGCCCCGCAGAACTGCTCGCTGCGCACCCCGACCTCACTCAAGGGGCCCCAGGACACACAAATAAATACACACAAATAATAAGATTCCCCTTATTTTCCTGTATTTTCTGGGTTTTTGTCTTCCCGCCCAATTCCCATATTTCCCAATATTTTCTGGGGAATCGAGGATCAATTGTGTCTGTGTGTTTTTTCCTCTCCCGACCTCACCCCGGCAGCGAGGCCGAGCGGCGAGATCGCGCGAGCTCCGAAAATCGGCGAGAGACCAGGAGGCGGAGGACGAGGAGGAGGAGGAGGAGGAGGAGGAGGAGGACGAGGAGGGCAATGAAGAGGAGGAGTAGGAGGAAGTGCAGGGAGGAGGAGGAGGAGGAGGAGGAGGAGGAGGAGGAGGGGGAGAAGGAGGAGCAGGAGCAGGGGGAGGGGGAGGAGGAGGAGGAGGAGGACCACCCGGGGGTCCGCGGGGGATATCTCTGGGCGTCGGCGCTGGCCGGCGGGTGGCGGGGGCAGAGCGGCGGGGGCGCCACGTGGCCAGGCGCAGCCGGGATCCCGTCTTTACTGAAGGGGCCCTGGGACACACAGATAAATATACACAGATAGCAATATGTCCCATATTTTCCTATATTTTCTGGGTTTCTCAATATTTCCCATCTTTTCCTATATTTTCTGGGTTTCTCAATATTTCCCATATCTTCCTATATGTTCTGGGTTTCTGTCTTCCCCCCACTTCCCATAGTGTCCCATATGTTCCTGGGAATCGAGCATTAATAGTGTCTGTGTGTTTTTTTCCCTCCTGATGTTACATCATACTCGCTCCCCGCCCCCCCCTCCCCCCCCTTCTGGACTCGGGCCCCCCCCAAAGCAGGGCCTATCTGAGGTTCGGTCGGGCGAGTCCTCCTACGGGCGGGCTTTGGACGAAACATTAAACCATAGTCAAAAAAATTATTCAAAAATAGTCAAAGCGTAGTCGAAACATCGGCCCCACTCTATATTTTGACTACTTTTGGTTATTCCTCCTGTAGAGGGGCATGATCGAGTTGAACTTAGGCTCTTTCATCCCCCGCCTATACTCTGCCCCCGTCCAGGCCTCCCAGAGCCCTGAATCGAGGGGATCGCCAAACGTGGACATCAGCGTTCCACGTGCCCCCGCTTGCTCCGCCCCCGCCTCCGGCGCCCTGCTGGCCACGCCACGATTCGCGCCGGTGCCGTCTGGGAACTGGGCATCCCCAGGCATTCCCACACGGCGCCGGCGCAACTCGCGACGTGACTGGCCTTCTTCCTCCTCTCCCCTCCGGTCAGGCCCGCTATCGCGAAGGGATAACAAAACTGTCTCATGAACCTCGTACGGAGACAACCTACATAAGCATAGCCTTGTAGCTTGTATCTTTATAGCTTCAGGTTGGGCATGTCCTCCTACAGACGGATTTTGAAGGAGAAAACAACTTCTAATAAAAGTCTGCAAACATGCCAAACATAGTCAATGAATCGTCCCCAGACTACTTTTTTTTTACCATTTTCGAATACTCCTCCTGTAGAGGGACATGCCCGACTCATCTGTAGCTCTCTTGGATCGGCGCTGGGCCCCCAAGGGGGTCCGCCCAGGGCGTCCTTCAGCTTCCAGGGCCGTGCGGAACTCCGAAAGCTTCTCTCTGTCCAGCTTTGTCTGCGTCGAGTATCGTACGAGCCGCCCCCACCCCCCGACTCGATGCACGCAGAAGGCATATCTGGGCACCACCGCCATGGCTGGGCAGGGCCAGCCCGGACCCCAGCACGGTGTATACGCCCGCCTGGCCGATGCCAGGAGGGCGCACACACCATAGTTCGGGGATGGACAGGAGCCCCTTTGGTAAAGCGTGGTACAGTGAAAACGACCTCGGGCCCAAACCTGGCGGCCGCAAGCCTGGAAGATGACGGCCGCGGCGCCCTCTCGAGAACCGAAAACGGACAATTCACGAATCGACGCGTCAGGGTGGGGGTGCTTCTGTCCACCCCCGAATACGTGGGGCCCAGGATGGCCCCGGCCTGGCACGGTGGTGGTGTGCAGATGCCTTCGTCGCACGAATACGCCTTTCTGCCCGTCGGTTCTTATCGTTAAAGGCTTAACGACTTCTGCCGTCCTTCGACTCGCGCTGGAGCGGCCGCGAAGTGCTCGAACTTTCCCTGGAGATCTCTGGATTTACCTGGATTTACCCAGATTTATCTAGATTTACCTGGATTTACCTCGATTTATCTGCATTTACCTGGGTTTATCTGGCTCGATTCTCACAAGTCGATTGGCGAAAAGTCGACAAGCCCTTAGGGATCTTAGGGGTCCCAAATTCAGTGCGGTGACAGAGCGGTCGGTGCCCCCCATGATGCCGAAGAGACAGCACCGACGTCGGTCAGTGACCGCAAGGTCGGACCTCGGAGGCCCCCGCTGCCCGAGACGCCCTTATGGAGAGCGCCCCGACTTCCACAGCAGTGCGGCGGCGGCCCGAACCAAGACATCCGACGCTGTGGCGCTTTGCAGTGCACGCCCCTCTGAAGCCCCAGCCCTTTCCGTGGGGGACGCTCCTCGTCCCGGATCCACATATATTTGATGCTCCAGGGGCCGGATGGCCAGCCCTGGAGGCCGGAACCGAAGAGAAAACCAGCAGGTTGCACAAGCACCACGTCGTCGGAGGCCTCGGAACCCCCACGGGCTCACCACGCGGTGCAGTCGCCGCACCACCTGCGGGCCTTCGAGCCTCCCCCTCCTCCTGGCCATCCTCCAGCCCCCGGAGCGCGAGGAGCCAAAAAGGGGCCGTGCCGTGGTCAGCGCGGCGGCCGACGGCAGGCAAGGCGGTCCAGAGCAGAGCGCACGCCGCAAGCAGAAACTTTCGGAGATCCGCGCGGACTGCTTGGACACGGTCGACCCGCATCGTATAGACGCACGATGAGGATGCAAGGGCCTGGGACGCCCATGTCGAAGCCTATCGACCATGGCGCGGCCAGCCGAAGTGGCCAAGAATGGACCGGGGGTGAGGAGGAGGAAGAGGATGAGGAGGAGGAGAAGGAGAATGAGGAGGAGGAGGCGAAGGAGGAAGGAGGAGGAGGAGGAGAAGGAGGAGGAGGAGGAGGAGCAGGAGGAGGAGGGAGAGGGAGGAGGAGACGCAGGAGGAGGAGGAGGAGGAGGAAGGAGAAGGATGCGAGGGTACCCTTGGGATGGTTGCCCATCCTTACTATGCGGGTTGACGCTAGGCGCTGGGGCGCCCCTGGCGGCACCTCCGACGCCGCCCCGGGCGCGTTCCGCGCTGCCAGGAAGAGGGGTGTCCAGCGCCGACCTAAATAATCCGCGCGGACCTCCCACAATTGATGGTTGTGCAGTGGCCCCCCCTTCGACCCTTCTGCTTCCGCAAGGAGTGCACGACTCTCCCCCTGCTGCCAGGGGGTGAGCTTAAGGCTTAGATGCTCTAGAAGGGGAGCGAACCTGCCTCGTTTGCATCCGCCCTCGATTCTAAACGGGAGCCGATTAATTACGGGCTACCCACACCACCCGCAACTGCCACGAGGAGACGCGCGGTGTGACTGGGTGTCGCCGGGAAGCATAAGCGGAGAAGGGAATTCACCCTCTGACACACGCAATCAAGATGACGAACCAATTGTCCTGTTCAAACCTTTTCGCGGACAATTTCCAAACCTGCCCCCAGACCCGCTTCCACGCAGGTCTGCAAGCCTTCCAACTAAAACTTCGGCAGTGTGCATGATGGCGATGGTGGTGGTCATGATGCATGGTGGTCATGAAAGAAAGCCAAAACACAGAGGTAGCGCAACTAGACCACGAATCGAACAATCGCCCATCGAACCGAAAACAAAACATCAGCCGACTTGTAGGAGGCAAAATCACGCAATGAACCGTGGTCTAGACAACACCCAATACGTGCAATTACGACATGGGGAAATCGACGAAGGAAGGAAAGAGAGAGGATATCGGGCATTGGAATGCGCCACCCTTCGAATAACCCTCGAACTCAGCGGCGATGCGCAGCAAATAATGGCAAGTATTTTTATTTACACCAACGGCCCGTCCATGAAAAAACAGCGGCGGGGAGAAAAGGGGACGAGGGCGAAGAAGCGGAAGCATTAACTGGAAGCGGAAAAAGGAAAGGGAAGAGGATCGGGAATCGCGCCTGCATTCCAGGCGGGACCAGAAAAAACGAGCGTTGAGCCGCCGAGCGGGACGGTGGCGTGGCGCCAAGTGACATTTCCCCTACGAGGTTCCTAGTGCGCTGCTGCGGCGGAGCGCCGGAAAAACAATTAAGAACCCGAGCGGC